GGGGGAATGTCACATGGGGAGGTTGGTCAAAGGATACAAACTTTCATTTATACGATGGCTAAGTTCTGGTGATCTAATGTACAACATGGTGCCAATAGTTAATAATATTGTATCCTACATGGAGATTTGCTAAGAGAATAGGTCTTACGTGTTCTCACCACACACACACACACAAGGTAACTACGTGAGGTGATAGAAGTGTTCATTAACTTGATTGTTGTGTCCTTGTATAATGTATGAGGTTACATCAAGGATTTCATAGAAAGGCTTGTATTATTTTTTAATTCTATTTTTTCCATGGACTTTGTGAAATACACTCATATATGTATATTGAATCATCATATTGTATACCATAAATATATACAATTTTTATTTGCCAATTATACCTCAATAAAATTGAGGAGAAAAAAGAAATCGTGTCAGCCAAATACTTAATTTTATCTCTTGCAAGTTTTTCCTTCCAAAAAATACAAAGACACGAACACAATTCTGTCTAATTCTTTGGCACTTTGTAACAAGAATGACCTTTCCTCCATTGTCCAACAAGATGTTCCTCTTTTCCATTTGCGATCTCATCAGAATGACCTTTACCATCTATTTTTCTACCAACATTCTGTTCAGGATTACTTAGGCATCCTCTAAGCTTTTCTCTGAAGTTTTCTCTCTAACTCTCCTCTTTTCTTTTTGAGCCCTCCCCAGAATTGTCCATAACAGGCCATTCATAGCAACTACCTAAAAACTCTTCCAGCCTCTACCCATTACCCAGTTCCAAAGCCACTTTCATGTTTTTAAGTATTTGCTACACAAGCACCTCCACTTCTCAGTACTAATTTTCTGTCATAGTCCATTCAGGATGCTGCAAAAAAAAAAAACAAAAAAAACCCCATACACTGGGAGGCTTATAAACAGAAATTTATGCTCACAGTTCTGGGGACTGGAAAGTCCAAGATCAAGAAGCCAGCAGATTCAGTGTCTGGTGAGGGCCCACTTCCTGGCTCATTTACTACTGTCTTTTTACTGTATCTCACTTTGTGAAAGGGGCCAGGGATCTCCATAGGGTTCTCTTTTCGAAGAGCACTAAACCCATTCATGAGGGCTCACCTCCCAAAGGCCCTACTTACTAATACCATGACTTTGGGGGTTAGGATTTTAACATATGAATTTGGGGGGAGGATAAACATTCAGACCATAGCACTACATAATATTTTGTTTAATTCCAGACATTGTGAATTGAACCTTGCTGGACTTTGAAATTTTTTATTCCTTTAAATATCTTGAGCTTTTAGTCTAGGATACAGTTATGTTACTTGGAAACAATTTGTTACTTTGGGTCTTGGTAGTCAGCTGAATACTCAGAGGGGACCCTGTAGATCTCCAGGTCTCCCTCTCCCAGCCCCTCTTCTCTCTATCCCCTCTCTCTCTCTCTCTCTCTCTCTCTCTCTCTCTTTCTCTCTCTCTCTCTCCCTCCCTCCACCCCACCACACTCCAACTCTCTCCTCTATGAGATTGTTTCCTGTAAATTCTAGCTACCTTGGTCGCCAGACTTTCAGCTCTTTCTCTCTGACTCTTGGATTCCTCTGACTGCTGTCTGGGTTCCCTCTTCCATGGGGGCCTGGAAACTCTCTCGAGGCTAAACTAGAGCAATAATGGGACTCAGCTTGTTAGCTTCTCATCTCTCATGGATCCCTATCTTTTATTGCCTGATATTGAAAATTATTGTTTCACATATTTTATTTGTTTTTTTAATTGTTTCAGGTGGGAAGGTAAATACACTTTCTGTTTCTTCATCTTAGATGAAAGCAGAAATTTCTTGTTCACCAAGATTTTTATCTTAATTTTGCACCAATCTATTCCTTCCATTACTCTATTACATTTTTTTCAATTAGGCTCTTCTTATATTTTTACTAGAATTTTAAAATAATACTCTACTTTCACTGCCTTTACTCTTGTCCTCATTTCCATTTTCACCCCTGCCACCTATCATCCTCAGTATTGCCACCAAGATGAGATGCGCAAAAATTAAAATATCTTTATACTACTGTGTTTAAAAATTTTAACCATTTAATGTTATATCACTTGCCTATAATGTAAAGCTCATATTCTTTAACATGGTATATCAAACCCTTCTTCATGTAGCCCTGTTTACTGCACAAACAATGAAAACATTATCACCAACATTTACTGCAACAAGCAATTGTGTATTACTGAGTGTCTGCCATTTGTCAGGGACTGGCGAATATCCTGTTAAAAAAGACGACAGTTCCTTCCCCATACTGGCCAGCCACCAAAAAAAAAAAAGAAGACAGTTCCTATCTTTGGTATCTTAAGACTAGCAAGTAAGATGACCAATAGATATAAAAAGTATGACCGACAGTCTTCATGTGTACAGGCTACTGTGTGAGCAACTATTCTGAGGTAATTAAAAGTTAGAGTTATTTCTCCTAGTGAAATGGTGTTTAACTGAGAAATAAAGTATGTATTAGCTCAAAGAAAGCTACTGGTAGGGAGGCAGTATGCAAAGAGGGAAGAACAGATACGAAATACCCTGAGACCAGGAGAGGTTTGGCATTCCCAAGAAATGGGAGGAAGCCAGTGTACCCTTGTTGACTGGGTTATAGTGAATGTCTCCTTTGAAGGCTGGAGAAGCTTCTTTAATTTCCCTCTTTTTTTTCCCAAAGATGACCAGTAAGGGGCTTTTAACCTTTGACTTTGGTGTCATCAGCACCACACTCTCCCAAGTGAACCACGGGCCGGCCCTACTTTCCCATTTCTGACCCATCACTAACACCTGACAACATTCGTGGTGTAATGTACTATTAGCAGGTCTTTCAAGTTTCCATGTCTTTACATGCCTATGTTCATTGGTATGTGCCGTTTCTCATGTCTTAAACCCTTTTGTCTTTTGTCCTTTTGGAAAAGTTCTCATCTTTGAAGATACGATTTAAGCCCTTCTCCACAGGAAATAGTTTTCTGATTGCTTATTCTACTCTCCTAGAAGATATGACCACTTTGTTCTTTACTTTTCACCCTGTGCTTTGAACGTAGGTTCATTATTGCTATCATGTGTTTATTTTACTTGACTCTGAGTGATTTAGAGTTAAAACCATGTGTTGTTCATTTTTGTTTCACTATTTGTGGAATCAGTAACAGTCTTGCTAATTCTATGGATCTGCTACATCCCATTAGAAAAGAAATAAAAATGCTGTTTATAGACAACCTACACAGAATTATTTATTAGACACATCTGGTTATGGAAAAATATTAAACATGGATATAATGATAAAAAAAGACTTAATTGCACTTTGCCTGTTTTTCTATAGTCTTTTAAACATAATTTAACTACATAACAATTCATACTTTTTTGTGTGTCTAATACGTTAGTCCAAAACAAAGTTCATTTCATACAATCCAGCAATCCCACTGCTGGATACATACCCAAAAGAGTGGAAATCATCATATCGAAGGGACACCTGCTCTCCCATGTTTATCACAGCTCTATTTACAATAGCCAAAACTTGGAATCAACCTAAATGTCCATCAAGGAATGACTGGACAAGGAAAATGTGGTATACGTACTACTCAGCCATCAAAAAGAGTGAAATTCTGCCATTTGCAGCAACGTGGATGAACCTGGAGAAAATTAAGTCAAGTGAAATGAGCCAGGCACAGAAAGAGAAATATTACATGTCCTCACTCATAAATAGGAGCTAAAAACATAAACAAATAAATAAAAAAGAAAGATACACCAATCACAATAATTTGTTTAACTTTCAAAAGGAGAGAACAGAACTGAGGCCACCAGAGGTGGGAAAAAGGGACGGAGAAGGGAGGATTGTGAAAAATTGGTAAGGGACCAAAAAAGAAATGATTACATTGTATAATGTTGAATATGCTAATTACCCTCATTTAAGCATCACATATTGCACACACAGGTATTGATATTATTATATGTTGTACTCACAGATATGTACAATCAATTGCATTTCAATAAATAAATTTTTAAGAGGACACTAAAAAAATAATTTTTTAAAAGTTCAAAAATTAATCATATTCAACAACAGTATATGAATTTCCTCTCTTTTTTTGTAAATCTGTGGGAAGTGTTTCTCAATTTCCTTTGGTTGTTCAATGTCCCATGTTAAAGAAAACATGAATGTGAAAGGAAACCTCAGCTCTTTCAATGACTTCCCTTTTTGGGTTGACTCCACCTTCATTATGTAGCCTTTCCATATTAGTGAGAGTAAGGTGATTTTTAGGATTCTTAGTAGTCCTCTTCTTTAGGAGAACACTTCTATGGACTAATAGAAGAAGATTTAGGAATTATTAAAATCATAAAACTTTGAAATGGACAAACTCAGAATGGTGCTACTTGAAGATTCTGGATCTGCTGGTAAAAGCTTTTCATTTATTCTATATTTACCCTTTAATGAAATATAGAATTATTCTGACAGTCAATATGATTTAAAAGTGATCAGCGTCAGGAGAGTAAGGAACGGGAAAAGTGCATTAAGCTTATATGGCAGTAGTTTTGATCTGCCATAGACCTGAAACTGAGGATGTGAGACAGGAATCTGAGTTGGCATTGATTTGTGACACTGCTGTGTGAAATTAAGCCAGGAATCGAAATTAACTGAATTGTATTGAGTATGAAAATAATAGCTGTTAGAAAAGACAAAATATGTAGGAATGAATATCAATTGATAGTTGATCCTAGAGGAGATTTAGAATAACACCTCTGAATGCTGAAATCTACTTCATGATTTACATGGACATATTAAAATCATTTAGCATTTTTACTTTTGCATTAGAGTTGGGTTAGAGTAACAAGGAGTTGTGAGAGTGACAAGCAGCTCTAAAAAATGTTTTATGCTATGTACATAAAAGCAAAGATAATAACATCAAATATTTGGGTTTTTCAAATATAAACATCATCTCTTTATTCCATCGATGTATAGTTCAGCTACTGTTTGGCAGGAACTTTGCCAGGTACTGGTGAAACCATGATGAGCACGATCGATATGATCTGTTCCCTTATGGAACTTCACCATGTAACAGTGCGGATCAGGTGGACGTGGATGGAGGTGGGGGCATCGGTAGTTGAATACCGAGAAGGTCAGGGAATATAGAAACCTCAGGAAACCTGCCCTGTGCCTACAGAGAGAACGGCCCACCTTTGAGCTTTATTGATGCCTTTTCATATTTTTGTGTTTTAAGACCTGCCCTTATAATTCTTGTTTCCAACCCCACCTCTCCTCTAATTCCTCACCCCTAGGTTGCCTATAAACCCAAACATTTCCAAAGCTGTTTCACTGAGATTATATGATCGTGGGTATACTTTTTTTTTTTAACTTATCAACATACAGTGTAGTTGATTTTTGTGTCCCTTTACCAATTCCTTTTTCCCCCATCCCACTCCCTGCCTCCCCTTTGGGTATAAATTTTTCTTGTCTGTCTTGCTATTTAAAAGGAAAAGTTTTCTGTCTTGGTTTGTCCTTCTTTGTTAATCAGAAACCTCTGAAACCATCTGTCTTCCCCAAAGTCTGTTTTGGGGAAGACTGTACTTCTGCCCTCTTTTTTTAAAACAGACTTTAGAAGGTGTTTTGTCCACTTGAGTCCCTCCACTGCTGCTGTGGTCTCACTTCTCAGTGCCTGTTTGATCACCAGTTCTCTCGGTGAGTACTTGCCAAATTTACTCGCAGCCTCAGCTCACTCTGACAAGAATTGTTAGAAAGCAAATGATTCTCCTGAAGGCTGAGTAGCATCTAAACTAAGTAATATGCCTCATGGATTCAAAGGATTGGATATTAAAAGCACACAGAAAGAAAATAACTATGACAATAAAATATTAGCATGGTTTTCCCCAAAATAAAATAAGTGCATTTTATTTAAAGATTGGAAATAATGTCTAGATGAAAGACAGGAAAGAATACAGAGAAGAAATCTCAGAATTATTGGAACAAAAGGGAATTTTGGGAACACTTTTAAAAAATTCAAATGCCAAAATTTATCTAAAAATGTATTGGGAGAGGCCAGGCTGGTGGGACCACTAGGTTCCTAAAAACTAAAATTATGACAGAGAGGCAGCTGAGATCATTTGGAGGGGAGGATTTATTTTATGGTAGAAGATAAGACGAAAATATCTCCATCTCGATTTCCATTTAAGTAGATGCATTTCAGTCAGATTTCAACTACTGTTTTTAAAATTCTTTCTATTTTACATATATGTGTGAAATTGGTATTAAACACATTACGACTTGTTTTTCATCTTCACAAGTTTACTGTCAGCCTTCTTTCTATTGATTTCAATATTTTGGAGAAACTTATGAAGCTCATCCCTATGAAATTTTGTAGCATGTTATTTAAATGGTAAACATAAATTGCCACTGTTAAAAATATCCAGCTATAAAATATAGATATCATATTGTATTATGTCACTTAGCTTTACTGGTTATATGTTATTGCTTAATTTGAAGACTGTGAGGCTGATATTTATATATAAATGCTGATAAAACAGCATTCTTCTATTGCACCATGGATGGGACCAGATGGTTCTCAAATCTGACTTTGAAGGACAAATAAGTAATCTAAACAATAATAATTCTCTGCCTGTTCTTTGTGACCTTGACCAATTGCTGTATAACCGTTTGTTGCAGGAGGAACAGACAAGGAGCTAAGGCTAGCAGCTGGTGAAAACAAGTGTAGTGGGAGAGTTGAAGTGAAAGTCCGAGAGGAGTGGGGAACAGTGTGCAATAACGGCTGGAGCACGGAGGAGGTCTCTGTGATTTGTAGGCAGCTGGGATGCCCAACTGCTATCCAAGCCACTGAATGGGCTAACTCCAGTGCAGGTTCTGGACGCATTTGGATGGATCGTGTTTCTTGTCGAGGGAATGAGTCAGCCCTTTGGGACTGTAAACATGATGGATGGGGAAAACATAACTGTACTCACCAACAGGACGCTGGAGTGACCTGCTCAAGTAAGTCTTGCATTAGTCAGAGCCTCCATATGAAATGCGTGGTGGGGGAAAAACATATGTACATGAGTTAAAAACTAAAACGAGCCACTTTTCTGTAAGTAATCTAGTCTATATACAGAATTATCCAATCCATTGCAAGAAGACCAGAAAATACATGGCAGAGCCCATGTTTTAAGACAAAAAACAAAAAAAAATCAATAAAGATGCTGGACACTATTATCAATGAAGAAGTGACTGGCTTCAATTTTGTAGTCAGTGATTCTACTCCTCCATAAAAATATTATAACTAAATTAATTCCTTCAAAAAAAAAATCAATAAAGATGCTGGACACTATTATCAATGAAGAAGTGATTCAATTTTGTAGTCAGTGATTCTACTCCTCCATAAAAATATTATAACTAAATTAATTCCTTCTTCCCTTTCCCACTGCCATGTTGCTTTAATGCATTGACCCATAAATCATTACTCTTGGTCCATTAACTGATAACTAACTTTCTGAAGCAAGACACAGATATTCCAAGCACTAATTGGAGAAAGGATGTTTTGAAAGTATCATGCTTTTCCCAGAGTACAATGCTGTTCATTCCGTTTACATTGTGTTTTTAATTTACAAAACATTTTCATAAGTTTTGTCTGAGCTGACCTCATAATAATCCAGAAAGCTATGTGTCAGGCCTTTCTGCTGACAAATCCCAGGGGGATGTTTCTGACCAGTTTCCAATTCCTGGGCTCCCCATTTCTCCTTGCCTATTTCACTGACATTTGTGCGCCCCTCTCACCAGCCTCTATCTTAGAGGCCATCGTCCCCATAGGACTGGTTGTAGAAATGACTGATGGCTACCCATGCATTATGACGTGGTGGGAACAACACAGGCTAGTATCTAAAAAACTGTCAGGTTAAATTCTAGCACGGTTACTTATTAATGCTATGATTGTGCGAGTCGTTAAATCTCTCTCAGCCTCCATTTCTGAGGACTAAAAGACATGCTGCACGTGAGGCGATTGTACATTGTCTGGTGCACAATGAATGTTGAAAGCATCAGTTCCCGCATGGCTCCCTGCCTTTCATCACTTTAATGACTCAGTTCTGTTTCTTCTTCCTCTTCCTCCTCCATTCTCTCCCCTCTGCTCCGCCCCCTCCTCCTTTTTCTTCATTCCTTTTATTGTTAATCATTATGGGAGATATAACAAAATAGGGCATAACAAAAGTAACATCTACAGCAAAGTTTAAGATCATACTAAATCCTAGCAGGCTCTTTCCATAATTGTTGCTGTCTGTATAGCTGGCTGATTAGCTAAGACATCAGTGTAGTACTTTTAGCTCCTGTTTTTTGTTTTTTGATAACTAATGATGGAGTTGATCAAACTATTTTAAGTTTATACACCTAAAGCTCTAACTGGAGCATAATAATAGAAAAGTACTTACAACCATTCAGACTCACTAGTTTCATGGGGTTGCAGAGTTTGCATGTCTGAGATTCTCTACCCTAATTCATGGTCAATCCTCAAAGCTTCTGCCTTTTGGGAGATACTGTTATCAGATGCACCGAGGCAATATTGCATAATAGTCAAGAGAATAGACTCTGGTGCTAATTGTCTTTTTCCCCATATCCTGGCTCTACCATTTTCGAGGTGTTTGACACTGTGCCAATTATTTAACCTCGGATTGCTTATCCAAGGGGATAATAATAATAATAGCACATAATGCTTAACGTTGTTGTGAGGACTAAAGAAGACAGCATGTGTAGTACACTTAGAACAGCATACACATATTTTAATTGTGAGATCATTCTTCTTATTATTAATTATCCATAATAGAAAAAACAGAACCTTGTTAAGTGGAGGTCTTTGCCTGAAGTTTAGACCTTTTACAATTGAATTCCTTTTTCAGAAAAAATGCTTCTAAACACTTTGCTCAATAACGAACAGTTTTTGTTTTTCAGGTGTCCTAAAATTTCATCTAATGTCTCTTTTTCTCAGATATTTTAGTCCTAATAGAAAATTTAAGGAATAGTGTATAGAGATAAGTTTCTTTGTGAAAAAGCTCTTTGTTGCTAAAAAAAATGGTATCAGATGCCTTGAGGGAAAGAAGCTTTGTTTCAAACAGGAAATTGGTAAAAAAAATAAAATAAAATAAATAAATAAATCATTTTGATTGATTTTTCCCTCAATTTTTAAGAATTTGGTATACCAATGGTATCAGATGCCTTGAGGGAAAGAAGCTTTGTTTCAAACAGGAAATTGGTAAAAAAAAAAATAAATAAATAAATAAATAAATCATTTTGATTGATTTTTCCCTCAATTTTTAAGAATTTGGTATACCAGAGGGTGCCTTTGCAAACTACTATGCATTTTTATATTTGCTTTTTTCTACTTTCTAATTTCAAATTCAACTTCAGTCAATTATTTATGCTCTGAGCCATTTGTAATAAAGAAAAGTTAAGATTTAGATTATAAATGTTCAACAAATGACAGCTTGTCATTTTTCCTACTTTGTTGTATAGACCAATTTTATTATTATCTGTTTTTTTAAATACATAATTTTAGTCAAAACTACCTGTTTCTATATTAAAAGAGTATTTACTTCTGTCCTAGTAATGGAAGAAAGCAAAACAGAAAGCTCAGAAACTTTGATGTGTAAAACATTTTGCTTGGTGAGTAGACGTATATGAAGTCCTAATTGTTAACTGGATTTTAATAGGTTGAAATTCTCCAATATGTGGATCTAGACAACATTCAAAATCAGGCACCATTTTAAAGACAGCATCAAATCAGAGACAGCATCAAATCAAAGACAGCATCAAAGTGTCCAGAGGAGTCCTCTTTTTAAAATTCACTTCTGAATGAATATCACTTCTGAACTCTGGTCTTTTCTCTGCTCTAGATGGGTCCAGTTTGGAGATGAGGCTGAAGAATGGAAGAAACCGGTGTTCAGGAAGAATAGAGATCAAATTTCAGGGAAAGTGGGGAACAGTGTGTGACGATAACTTTAACATAGATCATGCTTCTGTGGTCTGTAAACAACTTGGATGTGGAAGTGCTATTGGTTTCTCTGGTTCAGCTACTTTTGGAGAAGGTTCTGGACCGATCTGGTTTGATGACCTTGCATGCAATGGGAGTGAGTCAGCTCTCTGGAACTGCAAACACGAAGGATGGGGAAATCACAACTGTGACCATGCCGAGGACGCTGGCGTGATTTGCTTAGGTAAGGGCTGATCTGGGCTGTTCTGTTCTCAAAGAGAGGACAAAAGGAAGGGACAAGAGCCTTAAAAGTCTGACCTCATAAGAACATAATGAAGTCTGCTTCCTTTGTCACCTCGTTATTACCTCATTTCAGGTTCCTGTTCTGATAGCTGTGGAGTTTTTACTCTAACTGAAATTAGGAAAACTAGGGAAGAAGGATGAACAGTGAAATTGAGATCCAGGTCACGAGGATAGAAGACAGTGTTTAGAGAAGTCCAACAAGAAAGAAGGAAGGAAGGAAAGAAGGAAGGGGGGAGAGAGAAACACACACACACACGGGGGGACAGGGAGGGAGGGAAAGAGACTGGCTTAGCTACAAAATTTTGCTGTCTGGATGAGTTTTAGAAGCAAACCACACTCCCCCTATCATCATGTAACCAACAAAAGCCTCCTCCTTAGCCACATTTACCCACCCCTTCTCAAATCATCACCTCAAATTCATAGAATCAAATGACAAAAACAAAAACGAACCACTTGGGTTTTCTACTAAAACCTCATTAATGCTGGGGCTATGCTATGAGCATGCACTGTGTCTGTCTACAGACTGCTGTGTACCTCGCTTAGATCAGGGGACAGGTGTGCAGGGATGTCACTCTTCCTTTTTCACTGGAGTTCTTAGTTTGAAGGAGACCTAGTGCGTTTTGAACCCCAGAGAACACTTAGGAAAATATAGCTAGAGTTAAAATATTCTATCTTCACCAAGTTCTCTCTCTCTCTCTCTCTCTGATGAAGGAAATTTAATTCAAATTAATTTAAATATAATACTGGCTCAGAAAAGTAGAATATCCAGAGGGTTTAGGTGGCTTCTTGCATGGCTACATCCAGGGGTTTAAATGATGTCATCTGAGTTCTGTCTCTTCCTCCGCTTCTTGAGTTGGCTTTTTCTTGTTGCACAATGTGACTGTATAGTTTGAACCACAAAGAACAAAAGGATGAATTTTGTTAACTAAACAAAGGCAAAGGGATTAAGGGGAGAAAACACACAGTATGTACCTTCCATTCATCTTTACCCACCAAAATCTCTCTAGGCCTCTCTCTCATCAGCACTTTTCATCTCAATGTGTTTTGCACATGCTGAGGAATCACATTAAATAAGAATGTGACAACAAAAACTGAAACTGCCAGAGGAAAAAAGCAGTTTATTTTATCACAGGATGTTCTTCAGAACCAAGGTCTGTTCTTTGAGGAATATCGACTGTGGGAAGGAGAAAGGAGTGAAGGCAAAGGCTCTTTGCTCTGCTCTGCTTTTAAACGAAGGAAGTGCTCACAGCAGGGCCAGGCACCTAACGCACACTAGGTCGTGTGGATAGCTAATGCAGTCAGAGGCAAAGGGGGTAGAGAATATCAAGATAAACTGGCGTCTGTGGGTACCACCTCAACACATGCAAATATATTTTAACAAGAAAAAGTAAACAATTCTAACAAAAACTCTGTGGTGGCCACACAAGCAGATCTCCAGGTAAAACTCAGCTCTCCCCTCCACGCCCCACTGGACCTCCTGTTAGGAACTCCTCCTGGAGTATGTGCTCTCTATACTGAAAAGTCCTGTCTTCTTGCCTGCCCCACTCCTCCTTCTATATTTCTTTTGAATAAAAATTATACTGATAATTTTTTCTTTATTTTTAACTATACATATTTATAGGGTATGATGTGATATTCCAATACATGTATACATTGTGCAATGATCAACTCAGGGTAATAAGCATATTCATCATAAACATTTATCATTTCTTTGGGATGAGAACATTCAAAAATGTTTCTTCTACCCATTTAAAACATACACTGTTGTTAACTCTAGTTGTCCTACTATGCAATTGAATACCAAATATTCTTCCCATATAACTCACTTTGTACCCGTTGACCAGTCTCTCACCATTACTCCTCCCACTTCCCCAGCTGGTAGTCACAATTCTATCCCCTATTTCTATCAGAACAGTCTTTTGATTCCATGCATCAGAGACATCATGCAGTATTTGTCTTTCTGTGCATGGCTCATTTCACTTAACATAATGCCCTCAAGTTCCATTCATGTTCCACAAATGACAAGATTTCATTCTTTTTTAAGGCTAAATAGTATTCCATGCTTTATACGTACCACATTTTCTTTATCCATTCATCCACTGATGGACATTTAGGTTGACTCCATATCTTGGTTATTGTGCAGAGTTCTGCTATAAACTTCAAAGTGTAGATATCTCCTCAGCATACTGATTTCATTTCCTTTGGATATATGCCCAGTAGTGGGATTGCTGAATCATGTGGTAGTTCTATTTTTAATTTTTTTAGAAACCTTCATACTGTTTTCCATAATGGCTGTACTAATTTACAGTCCCACCAGCAGTGTCTAAGGGTTCTCTTTTCTTCACATCCTCACCAACATTTGTTGTCTTTTGATATTTTTATTGCAGCCATTCTGACTGGTGTGGAGTGATATCTCATACTTTTGATTTACATTTCCATGATGCTTAGTGATGTTGAACATTTTTTCATATATCTGTTGGCCTTTTCTATGTCTTCTTTGAGAAATGTCTATTCAGGTCTTGCCCACTTTTAAATTGGAGTTATTTGAGTTTTTTGTTGTTGAGCTTTTCAAGTTCCTTATATACTTTGGATAGTAACTCCTTATAGGATGTGAAGCTTGCAAATATTTTCTCGCATTCTATAGGTTGTTTCTTCACTCTATTGATTCTTTCCTTTGCTGTGCAGAAACTTTTCAGTTTGATGTAGTCCCATCTGTCTATTTTTTTGCTTTTGTTGCTTGTGCTTTTGTGGTTTTATCCAAGAAAATCCTTGCCTAAACCAATGTCATGAAACTTTCTTCTCGTTTTCTTCTAGTAGTTTTGTAGTTTCAGGACTTACATTTAGGGCTTTATTCCATTTTGAATAATTTTTGTGTATGGTAACAGGCAAGGATCTACTTCAATCTTCTGCATATTGATATCCAGTTTTCTCAGCACCATCTATTGAAGAAACTGTCCTGTCCCCATTGTGTGTACTTGGCACCATTGTCAAAAGTCAGTTGGCTGTAGATACCTGAATTTATTCCTGAGCTTTCTATTTTTGTTCCATTGCTCTGTGTGTCTGTTTTTATGCCAATACCAAGCTGTTTGGGTTACTATGGCTTTGTAGTATGTTTTGAAGTCTGGTAGTGTGATGCCACCCCTGTTCTTTTTGCTCAGGTTGCTTTGGCTATTCAGGGTCTTTTGTGGTTCCATATGATTTTTAGAACTATTTTTTCTATTTCTATGAAGAGTATAATTGGTATTTTGACAGGAATTTCATTGAATCTGTAGATTACTTTGAGTAGTATGGATATTTTAACAATAATTCTTCCAATCCATGAACATGGGATATCTCTCCATTTATTTGGGTTATCTGTGTCTTTTCCAATTTCTTTCATCAATGTTTTACAGTTTTAATTGTAGTGATCTTTCACCCTCTTTGTTAAATTTATTTCTTGGTATTTTATATTTTTAGTAGCTATTGTAAAAGAGTTTTCCTTCTTTGTTTCTTTTTCAGATAATTTGCTATTGGCATATAAAATGCTACTGATTTTAGTATGTTTATTTTGTATCCTGCAACTTTACTGAATTTGTTTATTAGTTCTAAAATTTTTTGATGGTGTGTTTGGGGTTTTCTGTATATACAATCATGTTACCTAAATAGAGTGACAGTTTGACTTCCTCCTTTCCAATTTGGATGTCCTTTGTTTCTTTCTCTTTCCCAATTGCTCTGGCTAGGACTTCCAGTACTACATTCAATAAAATGGTGAAAATAGACATCCTTGTCTTGTTCTAGATCTTATAAAAAAAAAAAAGCTTTCAGCTTTTCCTCATTCATTATGATGTTAGCTATGGGGTTGCTATATGTGGCCTTTATTGTGTTGAGGCACATTCCTTCTATGCCTAATTTGTTGAAAGTTTTTATTATGAAGCAACATTAAATTTTATCAAATGTTTTTCTGCATCTGCTCAAATTATCATATGGTTTTTGTCCTTCATTCTGTTGATGTGAAGTAGCACATTTACTGGTTTGTGTTTGATGAACTGTTCTTGTATCTGTGGAATGAATCCTATTCAATCATGGTGAATAATCTTTTTGATGCTGTTGGATTCAGTTTGCTAGTATTTTGTTGAGGATTTTTGCATCTATATTCATCAGGGGTGGAATGAATCCTATTCAATCATGGTGAATAATCTTTTTGATACTGTTGGATTCAGTTTGCTAGTATTTTGTTGAGGATTTTTGCATCTATATTCATCAGGGATATCGGCCTGTAGTTTTCTTTCTTCGTGAGTTCTTGTTAGTTTTGGGTATCAGAGTAATGCTGACCTCGTAGAATGAGTTTACAATAATTCTCTCCCCTTCAATTTTTTGGAATAGTTTGAGAAAAATTAGTATTGGTTCTTTAAAGGTTTGGTAGGACTTAACCTTGAAGTCATTTGGACCTTGGCTTTTCTTTGATGGGAGAATTTTTATTACAGATTTAATCTCATTATCAGTTATTAGTCTGCTCAGATTTTTTATTTCTTCATAATTCAATTTTGGTAAGTTGTAAGTATCTAGGAGTTTATGTGTTTCTTCTAGGTTTTCCAAGTTGTTGGTGTATAAGTGTTCATAATAGTCTCCAATAATTCTTTTTATTTCTGTGTTATCAGTTGTAATTACTCCTTCTTTGTTCTTGATTTTATTAATTTGAGTCTTCTCCCTTTTTTTCTTAGACTTCCTAAAGGTTTGTGAATTTAATTTATCTTTGTAAAAAAAACCCAACTCTTTGTTTTATTGATCTTTTGTATTGCCTTTTTAGTCTTAACTTTATTTCTGCTCCAATCTTTATTATTTTTTTCCTTCTACTTATTTTGGGTTTGGATTACTCTAATTTTTCTAGGTCTTTGAGCTGCTGTGTTATGTTGTTTATTTGAGATCTTTCTATTTTTGGGATGTAGGTATTGATTGCTGTAAAATTCCCTCCTGGAACTGCTTTTGCTGTACCCAACAGGTTTGGTATGTTATGTTTCCATTACCATTTGTCCCTAGCAACTTCTTAATTTTTTTCTTAATTTTTCCCTTGATCCAATAGTTGTTCAGGGACTAGTTGTCTAATTTCTATGTATTTGTATAGTTTTCTAAGTTCTTCTTGTTATTGATTTCTAGTTTTATTGCATTGTGGTCACAAAAGATATTTGATACGATTTCAGTTTTTTAAATTTGTTGAGACTTGTTTTGTGACCTACCATGTGACGTATCCTGGAGAATGCTCCATGTGCTGTTGAGAAAAATTTGTGTTCTACAGTTGTTGAGTAGAATGTTCTAAAGATGGCTGTCAAGTCCGTTTGGTCTAGGATGCAGTTTAACTCTGCTGTTTTTTTGTTGATTTTTCCTCTGCAGGATATATTCATTGCTAAAAGAGTGATGTTAAAGTTCCCTACAGTTATTGTATCAAAATCTCTATCTCCCTTTAGGTCTATTAATATTTGCTTTATATATTTAGGTGTACCAATGGTGGATGCGTATATATTTACAATTGTTATATCCTCTTGGTGAATTGACCCTTCATCATTATATGAGGGTACCTCAAAAAGTTAATGGAAAGTAGAATTAAAAGAAAATATAAATCTTTCCATGAACCTTTTGAAGGCCCTTGTGTATCACCTTCCTTATCTCTTGTTACAGATTTTGATTTAAACTCTATAATTTATCTGATATAAGTATAGGTACTCCTGCTCCCCTTTGGTTTTCATTTGTATGGAATCTTTTTTTATTCCTTCACTTTCAGTCTATGTGTGTCCTTACAGGTGATGTGAGTTTCCCATAAGCAGCATGTATTTGGGTCTTTTTCTTTTTTAATCTATTTAGCCATTCTATGTCTTTGAATTGGAGAATTTAATCCATTTACATTTAAGGTATTTATCTATAAGTAAGGTCTAACTCTTGCCATTGTTTTTATTTGTTCTTTAGCTTTTTTGTAGTTATTTTCTTCTTTTCTACCCCTCTTGCTGTCTTATGGTTAGTTAAAACACACTCTAGTAGTGTGTTTTGATTTCTTGCTTTTTATTTTTGGTGTATCTATTATAGGTTTTTGTTTTGTGGTGACCATGAGGCTTATGAAAAAAAATATGGTCATTGTAACAACTTATTTTAGGCTGATAGCAACTTAAATTTGTTTGTAAAAATGGGAAAAGAAACAAAGAACAAAAAATAAATTAAAAAAAATTTTAAACTTCACACTTTATCTCCATTTCCTCCCACATTTCACATTTGGGATTTTTGATGTCCCACTTTATATTATTTTATATTGCCTATCTCTTGATAAGTTAGAGTGGTTTTTATTATCTTTAATAGTTTTACTCTTCAGTCATCATACTAGAGATAAAGGTGGTTTATGTATCATGTTTACAGTATTCTGAGTTCACCCAGAAACTTACTCTTTCCAGTGATGGAACAACTTTCAGATGTTTTCCTGGTTTATGTTAGGACCTCTTTCTTCCTGTTTGAAGAACTCCCTTTAGCATTTCTTGAAAGACAGGTCTGGTGGTGATAAGCTCTCTCAGCTTTTGTTTGTCTGGAAAATCTTTATCTCTCCTTCACTTCTGAAGAACAGCTTTGCTGGGTACAGTATTCTTTTTTGGCAGTTTTTTTTCTGCAGGACTTTGAATACATCATCCAACTCCCTCACGACCTGTAAGATTTCTGCTGAGAAGTCTGCTACCAGGTGAACTAGGACTCCCTTGTGTGTTATTTGCTCTTTTTTCTCTTGCTGATTTCAGAATTTTCTTTTTATCTTTGACCTTTGAGAGGTTGATTACATTATGTCTTAGGGTAGACTTATATATATTTGGGTTGAACCTGATTGGTGACTTTTGACCTTCCTATGTGTAAATATTTGTATCTTTCCCTGGGTTTGGGAAGTTTTCCGTTATTATCTCTTTGAATAAGCTTTCTATACCTTTGGCATTCTCAAGTCCCTCTTATACCCCAATGACTTGAATATGTGCTCTTTTGATCTGTCCCATAGTTTCTGTAGGCTTTGTTGGTTCCATTTCATTCTTTTTTCTTTCTTTTTTCTCCTCCACCTTTGTATTTTCAAATACCCTGTCTTTAAGCTCAGTAATTCTTTCCTCTGCTTGATCAGTTATGTTGTCAAAGCCCTTTATTGCATATTTCATTTGGTTCAATGTGTGTTTCAACTCCAGGATTTCTGCTTTATTTTTCTATATTGTTTCAATCTCTTTGTTAAATTTCTCTGATGCATTACCAAGCTGCTTCTCTGTATTCTCTTGAATTTCACTGAGTTTCTGAAGAACAGCTATTTGGGGTTCTTTGTCTGAGAGGTCACACATCTCCATTGCTTTAGGGTTAGTCTCTGCAGAGTGCCTTATTTTGCCCAATTGATGAGGTCATGGTTGGCTGAATGTTTTTGATTTGGTGGGCATGTGACAACATGTGCACATTGAAGGATTAGGTATCTATTCCACAGGCTTTGTAACTGCCTGTCTTCCCAGAGATTTTAAATAGGTTGTCTGTGTACTGTGAGCCTGTAGTCACTGTCACTGTTTCAGCATTAGGTGGCAACCTAAGCCCAGTTTTACCGTTTGTGGTTGGTATGTTATTTCTTTTCCAACACTAGAGGGCGGCTAAGCCCAGGTTTGCTGTATGCCTGGTATTATTAAGGTATGGATGAAGAATGAATGGGATGACTAAAGAGGGCAGTCCTTCCTGTGTGGGGTTCAGCCACTTGCTCTTCATCCACAGTCGCCAGTCTGGGGCGACTGAGCTCTGCCTGGCCCTGGCCCTCATTGTGGTGGGCCTGGCCCTTGGCTAAAAGGCATCCTTGGCCCAGGTGGCCAATGTCTTAGTCTGGGCCGTGCTGCCTGGGGTTGAGGGAGGGATGGGGTGTATGGTCCTGTGCTACCATTGGCTGCTGAAGGGCTGGGGGGTGAAGTTCACAGCCACTGAGATCAGCCCAGCACAGGGGAACAAACTCCCAAGCCTTTGCTGCTATGGCCTGCCTGCCACTAAGGTTCATTCTTGACTTGAGGCTGGTGCAGTCAGTAGGTAGTGATGCCGGACAGGTGGGGTTGAGAGTCTGTCTCTGCCTGGTGCCAAAGCAAGACCAGATGCTCCATCTGTGTGTCTGGCCTGAGGCTGGTGGCCATGGGGTTCTGCCTGGTACTGGATTTCACTGTGACCACCTAACACTAGACTCCCATCAAAGTCCTGCACTCATTTTTCTCTACCTCTCCCATGCAGGCTTTGTCTCTCTCCAGCTGTGCTGCTTTGAGTCGGGGGAGAAATTAAGTGGGCAGTGCAATTCTGTTCTTCCTGCCCTCTTCAATGAGTCTTTTATTATGCTAAAACCAGATACTGTGATTTCTTTCCTGGTTTCCTTAGCTCTTGTGAAGGTGTTTTCCTTCATGGATAGATGTTTAATTGCTGTATATGTGGGGAACAATCACTGGAGGGTCCTATTTGGCCATCTTGCTCTGCCCCTTTATTTTCTTCCATCTTTAATGATTTTCAGTAGTAGTGCATCATGATTTTCTCTGTCTCTACTTATGTCTCTTGCTTTTTCTTTAACTCATTCTCAGGTACAGCTACTTACAGTCCCCCTATTCTTGTTTCCTTGTCACTGACTTGTTGTGTGTCCCTGTTACAGATGGAGCAGATCTGAACCTGAGACTGGTAGATGGAGTCACTGCATGTTCAGGAAGATTAGAAGTGAAATTCCAAGGAGAATGGGGGACAGTGTGTGATGATGGCTGGGACAGTCAGGATGCCGCTGTGGCATGTGAGCAACTGGGATGTCCAACTGCCGTCACTGCCATCGGTCGAGTTAATGCCAGTGAGGGATCTGGACACATTTGGCTTGACAGTGTTGCCTGCCAGGGGCATGAATCTGCTCTCTGGCAGTGTCAACACCGCGAATGGGGCAAGCATTATTGCAGTCACAATGAAGACGCAGGTGTGACATGCTCTGGTAAGTTAGAACAAAACAAAACAAGAAACAGAGAGGGAAGGACCTGTGTTCTTTAGGAATAGGAATACGTGAGATGAGAGAGGTAGATATACCTAATAAAGTCTTTGTTGGGAATTCCTTTACACTCGTGAGGAATCTTTGACATGTTCTTTTTTCTAGTTTGCAGGGTTGTCTGAAGCTAGCCGCTGTAATAAATAAATGTTCAGACTGCTGTTAGGAACCACACCTCAAATTCTAAATCTACCTGGGGGTCAGAAAGACAAAATTTTATAGGAATCTCTTTTGTATCTGACTTGCTCATATTTTTCTGCCACTGACAATTTTTAAGAACACCTTGATACTACAATCCCATTCCCAACCTAATTCATAGTCTATATCTGCTGTTTCTTTAAAAGTTCAGAAATAGGTAAGACATAATTTCTAGTGTTTCAGTATCTGACAATTTTTAAGAACACCTTGATACTACAATCCCATTCCTAACCTAATTCATAGTCCATATCTGCTGTTTCTTTAAAAGTTCAGAAATAGGTAAGACATAATTTCTAGTGTTTCAGTATCTAGGAAGGAGGGAGACAAAAAATACCCTTTGGAAGCTATCTTTCATATGTATCTATGCCTAAAACTATGTTTCTTTTGCAGATGGTTCAGATCTGGAGCTGAGACTTGTAGGTGGAGGCAGCCGCTGTGCTGGGACATTGGAGGTGGAAATTCAGAAACTGTTAGGGAAGGTGTGTGACAGAGGCTGGGGACTGAAAGAATCTGATATAGTTTGCAAGCAGCTGGGGTGTGGATCTGCACTCAAAACATCCTATCAAGCGCATTCCAAAATTAAGGCTACAAACATATGGCTGTTTGTAAGCAGCTGTAATGGAAATGAAACTTCTCTTTGGGACTGCAAAAATTGGCAATGGGGTGGACTTCCTTGTGAAAACTATGAAGAAGTCAAAATTACCTGCTCAGGTAAGACTTTCAATCAACTCGTTGAGAAGTTTAATTCCAAGAGTGTAAATTTTCTGTAATATTCTTGAAACTGAAAAGAAACATTGGTCCCTATGACTAGATCATTCTCAAGAAACCAGAAAATATCTATACAGATTCCACTGTGAGATTCTCAGATAAATTTACAATCTAGTTTGTGCCTTGGATAAGGGTATTTGGTGTTTGCTCACTTTGGCTTTTGAGTAATTTTTAAACCAATGGAGGTGTAAAAGATTAAGAGGGATTAAAATTTTAAATTTAGAATCAAATATATTTCATGGGAATGTCACTAAATATAGTATGTTGTATAGACTGACATGACTTAACCTTAAGCGCCTCCTATCTTACTATGAAAGGACTTTCTTCTTTCTGAATATTGGTGTATATTTCACTGCAACTTCTTCTAAAAGCTCAAAAATGAGCTGTGAGTTGGTTAGGCTGTGGATAATCTTTAGTATTTTATGTTAATCATATTTATACAAATGCAAACTTTGTTGAAAAGTGATGCCTTTTCAAAAACTCTAAAGTAATATATTGACATAACTATAGCTGTTACTCATGGTGAAAAAACCTTAGAGAAACCATACTAAGACAAAATCACTAAACACACAGAGACCTAGTTATAAGGTGGAAACTTTTATCTGCTGCATGTCCACTAATCTATAATATTGCCCCAGATACCTCCCAACCTATCTATGCCCCTAGGTGCATTCCCCTGATGTTGCAAATTATGTTTACTTCTGGTTAGATGGGAGTGATCCTCTTACTGCAAAAAGGAAGTCTTTTAAGATATAAATTTGAGTTGCTTAAAGCTTTTAAGATAACAACACAGAGTATTTTAAAGTATGCTAGGGGATAATGGAAATGAAACTTCTCTTTGGGACTGCAAAAATTGGCAATGGGGTGGACTTCCTTGTGAAAACTATGAAGAAGTCAAAATTACCTGCTCAGGTAAGACTTTCAATCAACTCGTTGAGAAGTTTAATTCCAAGAGTGTAAATTTTCTGTAATATTCTTGAAACTGAAAAGAAACATTGGTCCCTATGACTAGATCATTCTCAAGAAACCAGAAAATATCTATACAGATTCCACTGTGAGATTCTCAGATAAATTTACAATCTAGTTTGTGCCTTGGATAAGGGTATTTGGTGTTTGCTCACTTTGGCTTTTGAGTAATTTTTAAACCAATGGAGGTGTAAAAGATTAAGAGGGATTAAAATTTTAAATTTAGAATCAAATATATTTCATGGGAATGTCACTAAATATAGTATGTTGTATAGACTGACATGACTTAACCTTAAGCGCCTCCTATCTACTATGAAAGGACTTTCTTCTTTCTGAATATTGGTGTATATTTCACTGCAACTTCCTCTAAAAGCTCAAAAATGAGCTGTGAGTTGGTTAGGCTGTGGATAATCTTTAGTATTTTATGTCAATCATATTTATACAAATGCTAACTTTGTTGAAAAGTGATGCCTTTTCAAAAACTCTAAAGTAATATATTGACATAACTATANTGTCACTAAATATAGTATGTTGTATAGACTGACATGACTTAACCTTAAGCGCCTCCTATCTTACTATGAAAGGACTTTCTTCTTTCTGAATATTGGTGTATATTTCACTGCAACTTCTTCTAAAAGCTCAAAAATGAGCTGTGAGTTGGTTAGGCTGTGGATAATCTTTAGTATTTTATGTTAATCATATTTATACAAATGCAAACTTTGTTGAAAAGTGATGCCTTTTCAAAAACTCTAAAGTAATATATTGACATAACTATAGCTGTTACTCATGGTGAAAAAACCTTAGAGAAACCATACTAAGACAAAATCACTAAACACACAGAGACCTAGTTATAAGGTGGAAACTTTTATCTGCTGCATGTCCACTAATCTATAATATTGCCCCAGATACCTCCCAACCTATCTATGCCCCTAGGTGCATTCCCCTGATGTTGCAAATTATGTTTACTTCTGGTTAGATGGGAGTGATCCTCTTACTGCAAAAAGGAAGTCTTTTAAGATATAAATTTGAGTTGCTTAAAGCTTTTAAGATAACAACACAGAGTATTTTAAAGTATGCTAGGGGATTAGTGTTTATCATCTCTCCTTATTTTAGTAGCCGGGCAATGATTGCGAAATCTACTAAAGGTCTTTTTGCTACAGTTTCCTTAAAAGAAAAATGTAGGTAATAACAATGCCTACCTCACAAGAATTACACAGCAAGTGATAAGTAAATGTTAGCTAATACGATTATGAGTATTAGTGTTATCTATTTTTACTGACAGACTGAACTTTGTGACAGACTTTTTAGCCCACCTGACCTCAAATACCTAAAACAGAGTCAGACAACATTATAGGTGCTTAATAATATTTGTTGGAAGGATAAATTATTGTATAAATGGTAAGAAAACATTTAATTATCTTGAAGACAAAGTACATGAAAATATTTAAAATTGAATAGTATATTTATAGTCATAGCATAGATTTCTTGGAAAGAGGACTTAAAAGCAAGGAGACAACTTAGTAAGCTGTTGCAAAATCACATCAATGCAATAGCAATAAATACAGAGAAGCAGCAACATGCTGGAGGACTGACAGACATTGGTGGTTTTCTACATGTGCACTGTATTGTGAGGGTCAAGATTCTAGGCTCTGGAATATTCTACCTAGTTTCAAATCCTGGCCCCTCACTAACTTGTGTGACCTTAGCAAATTACTACATCTTTCTGTGCTTCAGTTTCCTTGTCTGTAAAATTGGAATGATATTAATAATTTTTCCTAAGGCAATTTTAGGGGTTAAGTGAAATAATATTTGTTATATACTTATTAAAATGCCATAAAGTGCTCTTAATGTTCATTACAATTATGCTTATTACCATTATTTGTGGTGAGATAAAAAAGTGGTTTGATTTTAGGTGATTCTTATTTGGACTAGATATCATTAACTGAGTAAAGAATACAGTGGGCTTATAATATAATAATTTGTTCAATTGTGAACACCTTAAATTCCAGACATCCAAGTAGATATGTTTATGAAAATAAAATTTAAAAGTATAGATGAAAACATATTTATTGACAGTTGAGAGAAGATTCCATTGATTGAGCAGTTGAGAAGGCCGAGGACAAAACTTCGATTCAAGGAATACATGAAGAATTTTGATAAGGCACTGTCAGAAAGAAAGAAGGAGAAAACAGGAGAGAGGGTCACATATATCAAGTGTATCAGATGTCAAAGGGAAGCAGTCTGATGTCCATGTTGAAAACTGGAAGTATATTGGAAAAATTTTACATAGAACCCTTCAAAAAGATTGAAGCAGACCCCAGATTACAGTGAGTAGAGGACTGAGCTCAGGATTAAGAGATAGAGACAGTGGATCCACATCATTTATGGTCTATGATGTTATGAATAATGTAAGGGAAATAAATGTTGGAAGAAAAGTGTTACTATTGCCTCTGGGGATGGTTGGCCATGCAAGGCAGAGTTCCAGAATTCTCTCAGATGGACAGATCCAATGAGGAGAGGGGATGCCGGAGACCAGCTCCGCAGGATTCATTGGACCTGAATAGGTGGTGTGGCGTCAGCGAGGAAAGAAAGAGATGGACCACAGATGTCTAGTGCAAGTGTGGACGACAACCACAAAAATCTTGCTTTATTTATATGTTTTTTACCTAATCTTTTACACATTGATTTATCTTTTAATTGGAACATTTTTTAATTTTGTTTCTATTGAAAAAGAAAGGTCAAAACGTTCCAAGGCACTCATGCTGTGACAAAAACATCTACTCACGCATCAACAGTTCACCCCAAAGCCTGTGGCTTGTGGCCAGGAGACTATACAATAGCAGCATGTTTGGCTTTAAAGAGCGTCAGACTTTTAGTTTGAACCATAATTCTTAACCTTCTTAACTTAAAATTTAACCCTATTTTAATCTTACTTATACTTACTATACTTGATTTTAATAACATTGATTAGTTATGTTTGACAGTTGTTTATATAATGTAATCATTTTAATTTATAATCAAAATCACAATATTTATAACATGATTATCATAAAACTCAACTATAAATCTCTTAAATCTTATGTTATTGATACAAGTTTTATGTTACAAACTGATTTAAACAAAACCTGTTAATATCAAAATTTATGTTTTTCTACTATCTAACTTATTCATCTTTGTAACAAAACTTCTCATCTCCCTGCCAAGAGATCTCCCTGGGGGGTGTGGATAGAAACCTAACATAATAACTTCATTCCACACGTACAAGAGCATGACCACAGCCACAATGGGTCCATACACACATCACTAACAAGAAAGATTAATAACAAAATTAAATTGAGCCAACCCATACCGGGAACATGCATCAAAAACACCTTTAGTACTGACAATGTATTTTAAATAAACCAGTTAATTTTGAGGTATTTTAACGTGTCCTTTTAGAAACTCCAGGGAATTTCCCAAAGCCATACTAAGCCAAAAGGTCAGGCTGTTTAATTCTGGGAAGCCTTGTCAAGCAACCAAAGGTGAACAAACAAGAACTTCCATGGAGCCGTGCCACACACACGGGACCCCCTTGTAGCCTGCAGAACGAGGGGTGTCACTCCTCAGCCTCCCACGCCGTTCCCTATAGCAGGACGGCTCACGGCAAGGGGCGGTCTAGAGTTTGCTATGCCCAGCTCTGGGCAGAAGAGCCAAGGGGAGAGGTGTCACTCCTCAGCCTCCCATGCTGTTCCCTGTAGCAGGAAGGCTCACGGCAAGGGGCGGTCTAGAGTTTGCTATGCCCAGCTCTGGGCAGAAGAGCCAAGGGGGACAAGTGTGAAACCCACTGAGCACCCTGGCCCCTCTTTGCCACTCTTCACTCCCTTCCTCCCCAGTCATGAAGGAAAGTCTGAGAATCATGTTATCGCTCACTGAAATGTCACTACTTTTCAGCCCACAGGGAACCCAGACTGGTTGGAGGGGACATTCCCTGCTCGGGTCGTGTGGAAGTGAAACATGGTGATACGTGGGGCTCCGTCTGCGATTCTGACTTCTCCCTGGAAGCTGCCAGTGTGCTATGCAGGGAATTACAATGTGGCACAGTCGTCTCCATCCTGGGAGGCGCTCACTTTGGAGAAGGAAGTGGACAGATTTGGGCTGAAGAATTCCAGTGTGAGGGGCCCGAGTCCCACCTTTCACTCTGCCCAGTAGCGCCCCGCCCAGATAGGACTTGCAGCCACAAAAGGGATGTTGGAGTAGTTTGCTCAAGTGAGACCTGGAGAACATCTACAGTTTGTTTCTATACTGTGGAGGGGGTGGGGTTAGGTAGCCACAGCTGTCTTTTCTAAAGCCCTGTCTCCTTCCAGGATACACAGAAATCCGCTTGGTGGATGGCAAGTCCCCATGTGAGGGGAGAGTGGAGCTCAAGGTGCTTGGGGCCTGGGGATCTCTCTGCAACTCTCACTGGGATATAGAAGATGCACACGTTTTTTGCCAGCAGCTTAAATGTGGAGTTGCCCTTTCTACGCCAGGAGGAGCACGTTTTGGGAAAGGAAATGGTCGGGTCTGGAGGCACATGTTTCACTGCACTGGGACTGAGCAGCACATGGGAGATTGTCCCATAACTGCTCTGGGTGCAGCACCATGTTCTTCAGGTCAACTGGCCTCTGTAATCTGCTCAGGTAAGAGGATAAAGAGCGGCCAGTGCTGAGCCTCTCCTGCGGTGGTATGGTTAGGAGCAGGTGTACCTATAAGGATGAAGAAGAAACGTAAAAGGGAATGACCCATTTTGAGGGGTCATGAGAAGTATGTCAGAATATAAAACTCATGTGTCTTTCTAGAGGGCAAATGAACTTCATTTCCACACACCGCATAGTTACCTAGTGTTTACTGTGTGCAAAGCCCTTCTCAAAGCACCTGATTCACTCTCGGCCTCATCGACCCATCCACCTTCTTCTTTTTCTAAATCTTTCTCTTCAACTTCTCATCCGTCTGACCTCCCCTCTTCACCTCAAACTTTTGTGTCTTCTATGACCGAGCAGTTTGGTGTTTGCAGGAAACCAGACCCAGACGCTACCTCTGTGCAATACATCATCCGTAGACCCAACAAGCTCTACCATTCCAGAAGAAAGTGCTGTTGCCTGCATAGGTGAGAATCAGTGATCAATCTATAAAAATGATCTTAATCCATAGGAATGCATTTTAGTAATATTTTTTATTTCTCTTTCCAGGGAGTGGTCAACTTCGCCTGGTAAATGGAGGAGATCGCTGTGCCGGGAGAGTAGAGATTTATCATGAGGGCTCCTGGGGCACCATCTGTGATGACAGCTGGGACCTGAGTGATGCCCATGTGGTGTGCAGACAGCTGGGCTGTGGACTGGCCATTAATGCCACTGGTTCTGCTCATTTCGGGGAAGGAACAGGACCCATCTGGCTGGACGAGATAAACTGCAGTGGAAAAGAATCTCATGTTTGGCAGTGTCACTCACATGGTTGGGGGCGGCACAACTGCAGGCACAAGGAGGACGCAGGAGCCATCTGTTCAGGTGAGTTCTGCACACAACCTCTGGTCACAACTACATAAAAAAGAACTGAGGCGAAGCAAAGTGTCGCAAGGATATTACTCTGAAATATTTCGCTGAAAAGCAGATTTAAAGGAAACTACTGAAAGAGTCAAAATCCCAGAAGTGTGGGTTTGTTGAGTAAGTGCAAGGTAGTATAGTATTATAGAGAAAAAAACAGAGATGGGCTTGTATATCATGAAATAACAACAAAATCGATAGTGAAATTCTTTTAGAAATATATGTGGAACCGGATATTGGGTAAGGATTTGATAGCACCACTTGATAATTACAATATTAATAAAGAAGTAGAATAAAAAGGACAGGAAGAAATACATTTGGTTCATCATTGCAGAGAAAACCATAATTACCATGCCCAGTAGTATTTCCTGGCAGATAAATGAGACTTACTTGACATAGGAGTAAAAAGGATCATAAGAGTTCACTGCTTTGTACACACAGTGAGTTTCAGAAACTATTGTGAAGCAGGAAAATGCACTATGTGGTAATACATTGGGGAAAGCAGTACTATGACTGGGTCACTTAGGGAAGTGAAAAGCTCTGCCTGCCGGAAGTGGTTCATTCCTATTCAGTGACATGAACCTGGTAAAGGATATGCATAGAAAACCTTAAAGTGTCAGAAAGGAAAATATTTCATTTTAAGATAATGTGCACAAAACATTGGTTTTAGTGCTTATTTCACTAAATTTTAACTATCAAGCACAGTTGCCAAAAAGAAAAATAAAAAAAAGAACAGAATAAGATTCTTGAAGCTAAAACTTCAGTAATTTAGGAAGAAAATTCAAACTATATAATTGAAAAAAAGGCTGTGAGCCTTTGATTGAGATCTGGAAAGCATCTTAGGATCATTGATGTCATTGTTTAGAGGTCCCCAAGTATGAAATCTAAGACTAGAAAGACAGAAGTTATTTATAGAATAAACGCTATGTTTTACAAAAACCTACTAGACCATCCAGAAGTTACTAAAGAATTACTAGTAATTGATGTACATATTTTTAAAGCCATCCTCACATCAGAGTAAAGGGAGGGAGTCTTCCAAATCTTCAGAGAAGATGCGAAACTACTAATTCTGTATTTCATCACAGAGTTCATGTCCCTGAGACTGGCCAGTGACACCAGCAGAGAGACCTGTGCAGGGCGACTGGAAGTTTTCTACAATGGAGCGTGGGGCAGCGTTGGCAGGAGTAACATGTCTGCGACCACCGTGGGGGTCGTATGCAGGCAGCTGGACTGTGCAGACACAGGGAATATCAACCCTGCATCTTTAGACAAGGCAACGTCCATGCACATGTGGGTGGACAATGTGCAGTGTCCAAAAGGACCTGACACGTTATGGCAGTGCTCGTCATCTCCATGGAAGCAGAGACCGGCCAGTCCCTCAGAGGAGACCTGGATCACATGTGCCAGTAAGTTACCATTGGTCTACATGGAAATTCCATTCTGCAGTTCCACTATCATCTTCTGGAAAAGCACATTAGGTTTACTGTATTTTCCTATTCTCACTCCAGCTTAAATTGTTAGATCTAGTTAAGCAGGAATGGCTAACCTCTGGGTAATACCCATTCGACCTGGATGTTGCAACTGGTTTTATTTAATCTGGCCTATATATATTCAGGATCTGTAATCGTTATTCCAAAGAATATAACACTTCCCATGCTCTGCTTGAAAGTTTTATTCAGTTACTTTCTCTGCAAACAAAAGAGCAGAGAATATGTGATTCAGTATTTGACTATTGAATGGTCTATCTTACCTTTCCCATTTTTCTTTTAAATATTTTCTTGCTACCTTAATATAGGAAGAAAAGCAGTCAGAAAGATCAGTCCTGACGTATTTCCCCTTTCCCCATCTTTTTAAACTGTAAGAAGATTTCTATCTACCTGGCAATCACCCAGGCTCTTTTCTATTTGAGAGGACTTAGCATTACATATTTACAACGTTAAGTGTATTAATTTGACATTTCCTGAGTCACGCTATGATTCTTATGTCCAGGATGAAATATATTCAGCTTGCTGAAAAGATATATACTTTGGTAAAAGAAAAATTTTGTAAAAAAGTATAAATTTTAAGATGTACATTAAATAAATAAAGTTTTTTTTTTTGTTTTTTTTGTTTTTTTTTTTTTGTGACCGGCAAGGGGATAACCCTTGGCTTGGTGTCGCCCACACCACGCTCAGCCAGTGAGCGCACCGGCCATCCCTATATAGGATCCGAACCCGCGGCCTCGGCGCTCCCAGCGCCACACTCTCCCGAGTGAGCCATGGGGTCGGCCCAAATAAACAAAGTTTTAAGGTAGATTCTTAAAAATCATTTTCAAATATCTATTTTCCCCTGTTACCTCTTAGTAGCTTTTATCTTCTCAAAAATAACTGACATGTCTCTGATTTTTCAGATAAGATAAGACTTCGAGAAGGAAACACTAGTTGTTCTGGACGTGTGGAGGTCTGGTACAGAGGCTCCTGGGGAACAGTGTGTGACGATTCCTGGGACCTGGACGATGCTCAGGTGGTGTGTCGACAGCTGGGCTGTGGCTCAGCTCTGGAAGCACTAAAAGAAGCGACATTTGGTCAAGGGACTGGACCCATATGGCTCAACGAAGTGAAGTGCAGAGGGAATGAATCCTCCTTGTGGGATTGTCCTGCCAAACGCTGGGGGCACAGTGACTGTGGGCACAAGGAAGATGCTGCAGTGAAGTGCTCAGGTAAATGACAGGAGCCGGGATTAAGCCTGGAATCTTGGCAGCAAAGAGGGGGTGGGCAATGAAGTACAGAGTGTAAAGGCTGGATGTCAACACAGGGACCTGGTGGAGGGAATGGTGGTGGTTCTATCTGGAAAAAAAGTGACAGAAACATTTGTAGTTATACATTGGCCTTCACCAAGGAAAAGCATGTAACCTATATATGTATATATAAATGTGTGTGTGTGTGTGTGTGTGTGTGTGTGTGTGTGTGTACCTGTGCAGAGGGAAGAAAGACTTGGAGACTCTTGTTTTAGCTGGGAAAGAGTATCTACTTGGCTGATAGGTACTAAAGGCTCAGACAAGGAAATAGAAATATTTGTTCTGTGTATTACTCTCATAATTAAGCCTCTTCCTCTTTTTTCCTACAGATATTCCAAAGACCAAAAGATCACCAAATGCCACAGGTATAGCATGATGTTTATGAGTCTGCATTACTTAGAATTCTTCTTGTTTTGAGACTTTGGGTCAGAAGAAGTTCTGAGGATTCGAGATTTGTTTCAGGGATTCTGTATCTGGCCTAAGAGAGAGTTAGTAACTGGAGATGTAGATTGTTTAGCTAAGACATTATCAGCTGTCTTGATATTTACTTCCGCATAGGTCACATTGCCATCGGGATCCTTGGGGTCCTTCTGCTGGCAGTTCTCATCGCATTGCTCTTGTGGACGCAGAAAAGAAGACAGAGACAGCGGCTTACAGGTCTGAGCCAAATTATGGTCTTTCTAATGTATCTACAGGATAAGGGGGTTCTTGGGATAAAAATAAATAAATAAAAACAAAAAACATTAGACTCAAGTGTGAAATGCCCAGAAAGCCAGAGGCTAGAAGAGGTCTGAGCAGTTTGTCAGAACAGAGGGAACAAGGCTTCAGAGGAGAAAAGGGGCTTCGGATGCACTGTTGATTCTTGTACTCTATCTACATGTTTAATTGGGGCATTATTGAATTGATAGTTTAGAATTAATATGCTCTATATGGTTTACAATGAATTTTTTTTGGCCCAAACATTTTTTACTGTTATTATAATATTCTTGTTACAAATTTTACTGTTCCGACAAGCCATGTGCTAGGCTTGGAAGGTACAGATGGGGATAACAAGTGTTTTCATCGTGGTGGAACTTCAAGTCTAGCGGAAGATATGTGTAAACAAATAAGTGCAGTGAATACGCGAATATGAGCAAGGACCAGCAGTGGCACAGAGGAGAAAGTAATTAACTGGAAGGGGACAGGGAGTGTCAAAGACTTCTAGGAGGCTTTGAGACAAATTCTGAAGCAGGAGTTCGAAGGACTGGATTGGGATCCCTGTAGGGAGAGAGAACGGCATGTGCAAGTGTAGGGACCATAAAGGGTGGCACCTTGGCTGTTCGGCAGGGAAGTAAAAGAGGAAGCTACCGATAAGGCTGGAAGGGGGAAGCAACGGATTATAATTTTCTCATATTCCACGGTAAGAAGATTTGTAGTCATGAAAGAGTATTGTGTCGGGGAATGAAATGGTCGGGCTGTCATTTGGAAAAATCTTTTGGCAACAGGACTCATGAAGGACTGAAGGAGGACCACGTAAGTGACAGGAATAGCATTTTGAAATAGTTGAGAAGAGCGATGAAAAGGACTTTATAGTGAGAATGAGGAGAAGAGGAAAGATTTTTAGAGAGATTTTAAAAAAAGCACCAGGGAATCATGGAAGACGCTGGCTTCCTTGGGGGAAGAAATGAGGTCGTTGTGTGATGGCAAAATAGGGAAGATGTGGCCTTGTGCCTAGTGTATTTGAGCTCGGCGGTAGGAAGGTGTGGAAACAACAGGCTGGATAAAGATCAGGTATGTTTGCACTGCTGGGAAAAAGCACCCAAAGGAAGGAAAGCTTTACTGTGTTATGTTCTGCTAATTCCTAACCTAAGACCTTTGTTATCAGTTTCCTCAAGAGGAGAAAATTGCGTCCACCAAGTTCAATACCGGGAGATGAATTCTTGTCTGAATGCACATGATCTGGACCCAGGGAATTCCTCAGGTCTGTGGGTTGTTTGAGGGTCTGTAGCCCAGGGGTTCAGACCAAGGGCTGCAACTGAGGCTGAGCATTCTACTTTGATGGATAGTGGGAAAAGATCTAAAAACATGTCATAGAAAGCCTATGATGCATATAAGGGAAAAGAAAGGCAGGAATGAACTGAAAATTATTCTTAGAGAACATAAAAACTGCAATCATAGGTAGGCCCTTAGGTCAAGAGGCCTATGATTGTTTCTGACAGATGTATACAAAGAATCATGCAACAAAATCTTATGACTTGGGCCTCATCTTATTAAAACAGAAATTAATCAAGGCTGTCATGACAGTTTAACTTTTCTTTTTTAAAAACATAAACTTTACTGTGTAGATTTGAGGTACACAACATGATGTTATGAGACATATACACACAGTAAAAAGGTTGTGAAAGTGAAGAAAATCAGCACGTCCACCATCTCTCACAGTTACCCTTTTCTGTTTGTTTCTTTTTGTGGCAAGAGCAGCTAAAATGTACTCATTTAGCAGGAATCCCATATACAGTCCCACTTTGTTACCTGTCATCGTCCTGTTGCACATTAGATGTCTAGACTTGTCATCCTGTACACATACCGCCGTGAGTCCTTTACCTACTCACCTCTTTTGCAGTTTCTTCCACTCCTATGTCCTGTTATTTTTCTTTCTCAAACTTGATATTTATTGTATTATTCCTAAAAGTCTCACATCTTAAACTTTCCACGTCTTTTTCACATGAGAAGCCGTCACTCTCCACAGGACTAGACTACTTCTCAGTACACAATGCTTCTTTCATTGGCCTCCGTCTTCTGCTTAGCACCTGGGCACTAATTCTGCTGAGTTAAAAGAAGTGCCTCAGTACCCAGTGTCCGTCCTCCACTAAGGCTCCTTTACCTTCTGAGAGTGCCTTCCTCTCTTCTTTATTCCACAAGATTTGGTATTTTCTGCTACCATGTGTAGAAACGTATTTAAGGAATAAGAAAGACTTCCTGTGCCCCTTAAGTAACACACACTTGCCTTCTTAATAGGGGGCAGTGTTTGCAGATGCTCAAGGAGCTTCTCAGGCACTTGAGGCGAGGTCTGATTTATTTCCCAGTAATTATTTTCTTCCTTTCAGAAAACGCCTGTGAGTCAGATGGTTTTAATGCCACTGAACTAATTTCTGTGTCTAAATCTCCTTCTACTTCTAGAATGAAAAAGGGGGCCATTCTGAGGAACACTGAAAAGGAAAATGGGAATTTATAAACCAGTGAGGTGGGTGAGGAGAATTTATTTATTATTGTTCAAAACAGGAACATTCCTTTCAAAGTTAAAGAATTCCTCCGGCATTAGGAAGAATATATGTACACCTATATTTGCATATGAATATGTGTATATGTTTACATACGTATATATCCATGTTCAGAATATACAAGGGCACCTCAAAAAGTTCACAGAAAGACTCATTATCTTTTAATTCTATTTTTCCACAAACTTTTTTTTTTTTTTGTCTTTTTGTCTTTTTTCGTGACCAGCAACGGATTGCAACCCTCAGTGCCGCGCCCGTACCGGACTGGGACCGGCCACGGGATCGCAACCCTCGGTGTCACGCCCGCCCCTCGCTCAGCCAGTGAGCGGCCGGTCTGTATGTGGGATCCGAACCCTCGGCAGGAGCATCGCCACGCTCCCAAGCGGCGCATTGTAGCAGTGCGCCACCAGGCCGGCCCCACAAACTTTTAGAAGTGCCCTTGTATAACAGCATTTTATAAATATGACTCTTCCCATTTCTTAATTACATGTATCAAGCGGCGCACTGTAGCAGTGCGCCACCAGGCCGGCCCCACACACTTTTTGAAGTGCCCTTGTATAACAGCATTTTATAAATATGACTCTTCCCATTTCTTAATTACATGTATATTATGAGCAATAACAATGGTATATACATGGAGCTAAGGAGAAAATGGGTAAATAAATATGAATAACTATTTTGAAGATATTACAGGGATCATTTCAGGAAGAAGATAAGACATGTGCATTACACGTCTACAATTGTATAGTGCATGCAAGGATAAAGATTGTACAAGATGCTACAAGTACACAAAAAGTTTGCCTAAGAACGTTTGGGAGATTGTAAGAATATGTGATATTTATGTTAAACTTTAAGTATGACTAAAAGAGAGACTATTCCAGGGAAAGAACACAGCAAGTACAAACTGTAGGGGCATAAAAGAGAACCATGCCTTTAGGGAAAAGTAGACATTTTAAAATAAAAATACATATATGGAACATATTTATGATAACAAGTAGTGTCCTGAACACTGACAATACAGATATAAAAGATACTACTGAAAAGGACGTAATTGTGTAATGAAAGGTCTCATAGTCCTACCAAGGTAGTGGTAGGAAGAGGTTAAGTGGAGAAAGGAGTGGTGAGAATCTAAGCTGAAAAGGCTAAACAGAGCCCTATGATGAACGGTCTTATCTGCTGTACATCACATTCATATTTTATTTTAGGGACTGTTAGAGAAGTGGTGGTCTTTGAAAGATGAAGCTGAGGCAAGACATGATTAGATTTGCATTTTAAAATTTGCTTTTATGAGGAAAGTATAACAGAGGGAAAAATTTTTAAATGAACAAGGCAAGAAAATTTGTTATATATCAGAAAGAAAAGATGAATTAGTGGATATATTTTGTTTTAAAAAAATTGGGGGAAGACTATACATTTAGAAATGATACGTAGAAAAAGTATGGATTTTTTAAAAAAATGGCATATGACATATGAGAAATAAAGACTGAGACAAAGGATAAGAGTTGGAACCCTTAAAAGCATATAAAATATAAGGTATTAATATCTATAAAAAGCAAATTTTATACACATGGAGTTCTTATAAGTTGTATAGAGCATGAAAAGGGTAATGTATATGTATATAAATTTTATGTGTGTGTACAATATCCAATGGATAATTGGACAAAGCTATGAAAAAGCAATTTGCACAGAATAAATTCCAAATGTCAAGTGGACACTATAAAAACACTCAAATGCAACAGTTACATCTAGAGAATTTGAGTTATAATTAACAATGAAATATCACTTTATATACAAATGAGACTAACAAAAATTTTAAATAGCATCAATATTTATTGCTTGGTGGGAATACAGAGAAAAAGATAATTTCGAACACTGCAACCCTGCTCTTGGAAGTGAGAGGTATTGTAGGCAGCATTTGGAGAAAACAATATAGCAACTTCTACTGAAAAAACACAAAACACAAAAAACAAAAACTTCATGGATCCTTTGACCCAATAATTCTAATCTTGAGAATTTCTTCCGTATGCATAAACTCACTAGTATGTAAAGACATATATACAAGAATTCCTTTTTGTGGTGCTGTTAATAGCGACCAAAAACTGGTAACAAAGTGAATAGAAGTTGATAGGGTGGTGGCTGGATAAATCATGGTTTAGCCAACTAAAAAAGGAAATATCACCCAAAAAATGTAATAATACGATTCCACTTCTGTGATCATGTTATTGGCTATAATTAAATATAATGTTTACATCTGTAAAATTATACATGTATATCTGTATAAAGAAATAAAAATTCTGACAGCATTGTAAACTGAGGACTATGAATAACTTGATTTATAATTTCAAACACATGAATATTTTCTGATGTGGTAAGTAATGATTCAACTACCTTCTCCTTAAAGAGTAATTACTGCTGAATAACTTGGAATGCTTTTTAAAAAGGGCATTTTTTGATGTTACTGTAGTTCCGTAGAATAAAAGTAATTTTTATGCACACTGAAGTTCAAAAACATTGCAATTAAGTTTTCTGCTCAGGAAAGTAGTATGCTTTTTAATATAAGTGAGCTTGTCTGTATTATAATGTAATGCATTCTTCTGTGCATATTTCTATTTATGCCTTTAGTTCAGCCTTTAAGATACCTTGATGAAGACCGGACTATGGAATGGAGCAAGAATCCACCTCACTCATTGATGATTACAATTGTGTTTCTATAGAGTCCTTTGTTTTCCAGTATTGCAAAGACTGCTGCTTAATTCATAGAAATTAAGTTCATAAATGTGAGCACTTAATAGTGTATATAAAAGTTTCAAGGGGGTTAAATAAAAAATAATATTGCTGATTTGAGTTTGTCTTAACTTCTTGTCTCAATTTTATGAAATTTTGAAAGGGCGTTCCAAATTTTTGAGGGTTTCATAAGTATGACATGATGTCTTTTCATTTGACAATGCTTTAATTTGCATATACTATATATTTTTCTAGTTTGATTTAAATAACAATTTTTTAATTACCAAATTGAAATAAGTTTATTTTTACTTTAGCTTTTTTAAGAAAGGGAAAGTTAATGACATTGAAGAGTCTATTAATATACGGTTAACTCTATAAGGCATGACTCTCATTGGTTCTTTAACTGCTTTTTGTCACTGCAATTCTGTTCACTGACATAAAATACACAGAAACACCTGATAAAAGTACAAAGCCTCAGTGGTTTAGTTCCTCATATCTCAGGACACTATAATTGAAGATGAAATGAATGCAAAAGTTATGTCTTTTCTATATAAATATAACAATTAGAAAGTAAATTCATGTATTACTGAAAACCACTTACCCATGATATTAACATGAAGAGAAGATAGCATTTGAAATAATTCAACACTAAGCTTAGATTACAGTCCATTAGCTTGTTAAATATCCCAGTTCTTTTATGCAAATTGATTTTTAATTAACTTTTTAAATGACAAATTAAAATTGTCATTTAAAAAATTAATTAAAAAATAATTAATTAAAGCTTAGTTAAAATTTAATTGTCATTAAAATTAAAATATTATGTAGTACACATTTTGAAATATGTATACATTGTGGAATTTCTAGATGAAGCTTATTAACATGTGCATTAACTCATGTACTTATTTTTGTGTTGAGAACACTTAAAATCTGCTTCTCTTAGCAATTTTTTCAAGAATAAAAGACATTGTTTTTAACTATAGCC